GTCAGCGGCCAAGGAGTTATAACGTGCAACCGCGACTGGTGGGAGGGGTGTGGGGGGTGTTGGGAAGAAGTAATTTGCCTCAAAAGAGTCTAACAGTCCTTTCTGAACCAAAGTTTGGACCCCCCCAATCAAAACTTCCTGGATCCGCCCCTGTAGATAATACTGCAGAAACGGTGAAGGAAACCTTGCCTCAAACGTAATGAAAGATCTAAAATCATGTCACTTCCATACCATCATCAGCTTTTCGGCTTCTCGTTTACTGGTGTTTAGACTCTTCATCTTACTTTTGACATTTTCCAGTACATCAACCGTCTCTGTCAGTTCTTCACTGCTCATTTTCTTTAAGCCCTTCACTTCATCTGCGATGTGAGATGTTGCTGAAATAACAGCTGCCGCGTCTTCAGCTTGCTGTGGATCATTATCGTCATGAAATAATGAAAAGGAATCACGACGTATTTTAAACGAAACTGGATTTTAGTTCAACCTTCTCGCCATCAAAAGTAGGGAATCAAACTTTGTTTTTACGACTTCCTATGATACATCTTACGATAACTTGTGCATATTGCTAACAAGTTACGGCTTTAAATTAAGATTTCCTACTCTAAAAATGGTATTAGAAAGACATCTCTTACCGCTATTTTTTGCTTTCCCTCAGCGAGTGTTGCACCCAACGGCTTTCTCTCTGTTAGGTAGCCAAAGAGCATATTTGTCATGATTTAAGCGCAAACAAGAAACGATTAACAAGGCGCACGGATTAACAAGCTTTGGATGTTAGAGATTACAGTGATATGAGATGTAAGAGCTACTAGAGAATAACGAGGATGATTAGAAATTTCTTTCTTCAATCCTTATCCGCAGTTAAGCAGAGTTTAGTTATTGATGACTTAGTCACACTGTTGCGATTCTTGCCAACCAACCATCACCGAGGGCCATTTGTCAGACGGTGTGTATTAGCAGATGAAGACCTATTGAATAGCATTTTGGGATTACGAACGCCTGTATTTTTTGAGCAGGGAGAACAAATTTGTCCGGATTTTAATTTTGGGCTGCTAAGGATTGCAAAGTTTCCATGCTTTAGGTTTTAGTAAGCATAAGAAGAACACTGCACTATCAATTATTACAATAAGGGAATAAGTGAAACCTCTTTAAGAAACCTTTCAACTTTGCTAAACGTTTCCTTTAACGTTCATTTTTGTAAGCAGCGTCAAGAGGGCTTATAGCCCACACTGGGAAGACTTATATCTTATTAACGAAGGGCGAGGGCCGTACTGGGAGAATATCGGCCCGAGGTCTTGACAGTACGGACCGAGCGCGCTCGGTCCGTACAAAAAAGACCGAGGGCCGATATTCTTCCAGTACAGTCCCGAGCAAGCTCGGTTAATAAGAGATTTATTATACGACAGAAGTTCAAAGGGACACAAGTGCGGTATCATTCGGGACCATTCGGGACAGTGCCCGGTCCAATACTGAGAGGATATTTACCGGCAATAGAGCATTTTGATTGGTTTATTTTAGTTATTGGCCCTCTGACTGCCCGAGTCGTGTAATAAATTGATTTATTTCACAAAAGCCATCTTTAAAGAAATTTCGGAATCTTTGGTTGTCTAAAACTGCGTCCCAAGACTGCGCCATAGTTGGCTCTAAATGATTGGCCATATCTCACCTTCACACTTTTTAATTTCGTTGTTGAACGAATACCCAGTCGCACAGGAGCAGTGAAAGCCTCCAAGTGTATTTTTGCAACTGACGCAACCCATAGCAGAGCTCTGCAGACATTCGTCCACATCTTCACAAACCCTCAAATCGCTTGTGAGCCGGTAACCATCACGGCAAGAGCAGCGGTAACTTCCATCTGTATTATGGCACTTGTGCTCGCAAATAGAACTGTTGTCGCACTCATTTATATCTTCACAATTCGTCTCGGAACATTCAGTGCATGAGGCGTTGTTGCTACAACTAAGGCTTTTATTGCAATTCTGTTCGTCGAAAGTTCTTCGGTAGCCTTTCCTACAAAGACAGTTGTAACTCCCAGGGGTATTTACGCAATCCTGGGAACATTCCCCGTTGTCTTGCAAACATTCGTTGACATCCGAGCAATTTTTCTTATCAGAAGAAAGTTGGTAACCTCGAAGGCACGAGCAATCATACCCACCTGGAGAGTTATTACACTGCTGTTGGCAACCGTGCTCGTTCAACTGACACTCATTAATGTCCAAACAAGACCTTTGATCCTTTTGTAGCTCAAAGCCTCCTAAACACGAGCAGTTATAGCTTCCAGGAGTGTTTACACACACTTGCTGACACCCTGAGCGGCCGAGGTTGCATTCGTCTATATCCTCGCACGTCTTTCCATCGTTCGCTATTTGAAAACCGTGTTCACAGGAACATTTGAAACTTCCAGGTGTGTTTGTGCAATAGACCTGGCAGCCACCCTTGTTTATTGAACACTCATCGATATCTTGACACTGGGTGCCAGAGCGAGTGTAACCCGAACGACATTCGCAGCGATAGCTTCCCGGTGTGTTCACACATGTATGCTCGCACAAATTGTACCCCTGACACTCGTCATTATCCACGCATTTAAACTTTTTTGCAGACCAGCCCTGGTTACACACGCAGTAAAAGCTACCTATTGTGTTCACACACACATGATCGCAGCCGCCGTTGTTAGTGCTGCATTCCTTGTTGTCCCGGCACGATCTCCCGTCTCCGTTGAGTTGGTAACCGTTCAAACACGAGCATTGGTAGCCTCCTTCCGTGTTGATACACGTGTGTTGACAGTCATGTGTGCCCAGTTGACATTCATCAATGTCCTGACATGATTGATTGCTGCTTTTGAACTTGTAGCCAGTGACACAAGTGCATTGGCGACATTGGCAATTGCTTTTGGTGTCATTGCAAGACAAGTTACATGTGCCATGGGTAATGTTGCAGTTGTTCTTGCTATCATTGCTTTGACATGTTGGAAGGTACGGTAACGCCTGGTTACAGGTGCAAGTGTAATCTGTATTTTGGTGAATTTCTTTTGTTTGGCAAAGATGTCTATGTTCCTCGTTGCAAGGACTTAGAGCTAAGGTGAAAAAGAAACAAGTTAAAGCAAAATTAACTTATTTTCTTGAGGGTAGTTAACATAAATTAGCGCAATGCAATCCAGATAAAGTAGCCTCAAATGGTATTAAAAGGGACTTTAACCACTTGAGAATGATTACGAGAATTATCTAAATTACATTTCAAATACCTTCACAAGTTGTCTCGTGTCTCAGGTCATCAAAAGCGATGTAACCCCAGTTGCCGGTGCCCATATCCACCAGTTTCACCCTTGCCATGCTACCAACAAATTGTTGAAGATTCACCTTAGTTCTTGTCAGCTGAGGTTGACAACTACCAGTCCTTGATATTACAGTGCTACCATTGACCACAATCTCCATGCGCACTGTTTGAAAATCACAGCCACCTACAGGAGAGATGAATACATAGTTAAAAAAGTATGATGATACGGCATGTTACTAATTACCTGAAAGCCTTATTATACTTTTGTCTGTCCTTACCACCAATCAAAAAAGACAACGACGGGCTTCTGATGAGAAACAGCGGTGACGTCATCGTTCCTTTTGCCTGTTTTCCAAGTGAGGAACTTTGCCGTTGGCAGGGCGTTGTGACATTTCTGTGAGTGTCGATCAACCAGTTGCCTTGGTGATCAGAGTTAGAGGATCCTCCAAAAACTGGCTGATGGATAAACGCAGTACCCTGCTTGGACCAATCATCAGCACCATGCTCAAAATTGAAAATTGGGCAATCTAAAAGAGCAGAAAAAAATAGGAAGTTTTGGATGTAGTTTTGGGATTGAAATGATTTTCTTATTTCTTGCCCTTGCCTGACTTAAGATGGCTCCTCTTTGAAATTTTTTTTAAAATATGGTTGTAAATTAAGATAAAATTAACCAAAGCTTTTCCCAATCTGCCCCTTAATGGGTTATTTGTGTAACACCTTTTTAACAATTCGCAAGGGCTGACTGGCATATTTCTAGCGAAATCATGGAATAGTCTCTTTTTCAACGACAGTAACCTCAAAGGGTTCTGTTTAAGCTTTTTCATGAAGCGGAAGACCCAAAATTGAGGTTTGATGTAGAAAAAGCAACTTACGATTTGTGCAACGCACGACTCTTGCAATCCATGTCCCAAAAACAAAAAATTCAAATTGCGTAATTAAAAGACGCGGGTGAATCATCAGTATGAACGTTTTAACAAATTCGTGTCAAACAGATAAGAATGTTTAGTTTGGAGAAAGCACCATAGTTAGAAACAAGTACATCCTCGGAGACTCAGGAGCTGTGCCCGTGAGATTCCAAATCAGGGCGAAATACCAACAGATTTGATCTGAAAATTTCCTCTCAAGCGTCATTTTGGAATTTATTTTCGTTTCGCTTTAATCTTCAAACATTGGACCTTTCAGTTGCTTTCGACTCTTTTTTTTTTTTCGGTTTTCTGCCTTCGGTAATTTCTACAATAGTATAAAAAGAACGGAGAAGAATTCTACAAATCGTTGTTGTCTAATCGTTACTTTTGAGGCTTACGATCATATTAAAAAGGAATCTACCGAATTATTTGACTACTACGTAATTTTTAGTGTGTGGGAGAAAATACAGAATGACTTTCCAAGTTATATTCAACAACATAAAAAAGAGATGAAATTTCTGTTCATGTTAACAATAGTTTCTAGCCAGAATACACAATTTAGTGTAAATGTTATCGATTATTTAAGAATATATGACAACTATATCAATTTCTAGTGGAATCCGTTTCTTTTTCAATTGAGCCTTATGGAAAAGATGTAAAATATTTTACAAAATTATTCGCTTTGAACGACACAACTTAATTTAATTTGTTTAGTCTTAAAGTTACCAAATCATAATTATGTCCTAAAAGGCCATTAAATCAGTTCGAAAACAATTTGTTTGGAAAAGCGACTTAGTGGCTGAAAAAAACGGCTTAGCGGCTTAGTGGCTGAAAACTTAGCTACAGTGTTGATGTATGGATTCATTTCCTAAGTCATGTAGTCTCCAAGAACATTATTAGGTGTAAGACGTGTTGTCAATTGTTCTTCGGTTATTAGAGATCATTCAACGATCACGACAACATACTTCAGTTTTTCACTCACATTTGGCAGATTTGTCGCTACTTTGACTTGCGTCGATCAACGATACAAGACCCTGAAGAACGGCAAAACCGTTTAACATCAAATTTACTAGATACATGGCGCATTCCCGATGGAAACATCGACTGCCGGCGGATAATCTCTAATGAAACTAGAAAAGAGCTTTCTACGCAATAACCGACAAAAAGAAACAAGAGAGAACCTTCCAGATGAATTAACTGTTGATCGTTCCGTGCTGCGTGGTAACCATGAGGACGTCGGTAGGTGATTTTAGAGTATATTGTTTATCTTAAAGTTGAATGCTACCTCACGTTGATTAACCTAATCCGGAAAAACCTCACTCGAATTTTTATTTAAATCTTAAGACTAAGGTTCAATTAATTTCGGCGACACAACCCACGGACCTAATTTATCGTATCATACTTTTGTCATAGCACCCCGGGGAGGGAGATGACATAGATATTTACTTACATGAAACGTCTTGAGAGGCAACCTTCTACATTCTGGAGTCGGGTCTGCCTTTGTCTTAAACGTATTGAGTAGGCGTTGGTTTCTTGTTGCTAGACCAAATTATTGGCGGATGCAGAGTTGTGTAATTTTGATTATTTGACAATTTGTCAAGATAATTTGAGAATGATGAAAATGGGGATAAATTTTCATCAAAGTCTCCTAGACGTTTGAATACCAAGGATGTTATTAATTTTCCAGCCTGTCTCAGAGAACACAAGAACTGACCGATTCATTATCTTGGATCACCCCGGATTGTAAAGTGTTTGACGCTTTGTTTTATTTTTATGTAAGTCACTTCAATAAATAAGTTGTCAATTTGACGCCTCGCTTTTCCTCAAAATAAAACAAAAAGCAATAAACTTATTCAAAATTTCGATGTATTCGTTTTTTTGTGCTATAACAGTCATCTTTTTCGTAAACTACAGTGTCCATGAAGATGTTGTAACCTCTGAATTTCATTTATACCTGAGCTTAAATTAATACTATGCGCGTGATTTGACCTTTTGTCCTGTTATAACCCAAATTTGCAAAATGTTGTGAAAATGTTGCAGATAAAATCGGAAAAGAAATGAAAGGAAGATAACGCTTGAAGATTCTTATTATCTACTAATTTGATAGCTAAGTTTATTCATTAAACCTCTTCCAAGATTAAACCTCTTTTAAGATATCAAACCACGGGTCTCAGGGTGAAAAAGATAAGACCCATTTTCTCGAATTGAGTAAACCTCTACAGTAACCATGTCAGTAAAACTGTTCTTAATGGCGGTTTTGTTTTTGATCCATACAATAGGCTACAAAGATGAAACCATATTCAACCAAATGAAATTCGGGCAAGAGTGCTGCAACGATTGCGTCCATCAATGATTAGATCGATCATTTTCGCGTGGTTATACCATAAAGTTGAATGGCATTCTTAAGCAAACAATTTGATATTTTGAAAGAAGTGCATTTGAATCATAGGCCTTTAAAATTAGTGTCAAAATATTTACAGCGCTTTTGAAGCAAATTTGCAACCAAAACCTGAGGTGCTGCGTAGTTAAAAGGAACTGTACCTGAAAGGCATTCAAAGAGTTGGGTTTTCGTGGTACCGTAATTTTTTTTATCAAAACGCAAGGGCAAAACAGCTCATTAATTCTAGTTTTTAGTTGGGGCCATGGCGTGCGGCCGACGTCCCGGCCTGTGCAATTTGCGTTTAAGTTAAACATGCCAACATTTCTCTACTGAAAAGCACAGCTGAGGCATACCGCTGCGTTAATTTAATAATTTCATTTGTGAGAATGTTCAAAGGAAAGCAAGGTCCTACGAGAAAACATAGTAACATTTTTCTACGGCTCAGGGAATGGAAAATTTTTGCCGTCTCGATAAGTTACCCATGGGACTCGGAAGATGGGAGATAAACTTAACCTAAACAAAAAAGAAAATGACACAACGATAATAAACCTTGAGCCTAGATTGCAACCCGGCCTTGATAGCAACTTTTTTAGCCTCGAAGGCGCAATGAGCCAAAGAATCGTTCTAATAAAATTTAACGAGGCCGGTTCACCGGCAAATGAACGCAGAGGGCGTTTAATCGCGAAAGTGCAGTAGTCAATTTTCTTTATTCTGCTTATTCCTTTTTTGTTTTACTCTACAACACGGGTATGTAAAGAGTATTTTTGTCTGATATTTTGGAATTTTACTTTACTTAGGTGAGTTTTGAAGAGGGATTCCATTTCCAAAGAATAACGTAGGTCTTCCAGTACATGTTCTCGAAGCTTGAACTTTCCTAGACCTACATGTGCCCGACATAGCAATACGCTTTACATGGTGATTCGAACAAAATATAAATAGTTAAAGATAAGATTTATGGTGGCTTGAGCGTTATTTGCAAGGATTGTAACTTGGTTGGATTCTGTTCGCAAAAACATCGCTCACGATAAACGTAACGGAAAAGAACCAGGACAGGACGACCGACCGTTCTTTAATATCTATTGAGCACAAATATTAAACAGGAAAGGGTACACATTTGAATGTTTTTGGTGCGAAAATATATCTTCTTATCGAATAAATCATTTTTGTTGCCTGCGTTTCTTAAAACAAGGTCATTTGAGAACTACGTATGGCAGGGTTCAACACAGTTGATTTAGAACTGATTCTGAGCTAAAAATTTTGTGGCAAGGTGCGTTAGGTTAACATCATGTCCCTGAGCCGCGTAATGCCTCTCATCATACAATGTATTTCAAGAAAAGCCGCTTTGTAAGAATATTTTTCAGGTTTTGCAGGTACATGTAACAGCTCTATTCGTATGGGGTCTAGGTCGGGTTTAAGAATGGAAGGCATTTTTACTGGTTTAAATAAGACATCTAAGTCTTAAATTTTGTTTATCTAAAAGGTTCTCGCAGCAGCAGAAGGCGAACAAGTCTTAAAGCTTTATTGCCTGTCTTACCTCGCTCATCGTAAGGCTTGCAAACAAAAAACAGAACTATATTTGTTGTTGTAACGATTGCTTTTAGTAGAGAATTGCCAAATGATCTAGGGTCGCCAAAGACTTGACTCAAGTTAGCCACTCGGACCCAGACCTCTACGGAATACCCAGTAAGGCCCCCTAAACTACTGCAAACGTTATAAAATAGCATCATTTGATGAGGCAGTAGGGTGATAACAAATCTTGGCCAAAATGAAGTACTTGCATGATAAGGCATCTGAACCTACGACAGACATCTTACTATCATACGCGCATGAATGACAGATGTATTTCAACTGATTGCGGCGTTTTCACCCTTTGCAACGATCTGCATTGAGATAGTTTTGATGAACAACTTAACTCTGAAATCTGTCCACGGTATACGCCCGGAAGCTATATTGTTTGAGACTTTTACGCACAAACCAATAGAAAAAAACTATAATGCCTTGTTGAAAAAATTGATTAACCTGAAATGCAAATTTGCGTGCCTTAGAACTAGGACAGATCATCTTGTCTTAGAAATCATTTAAGTGCTATTTCAGGATACATACATGCGAGATTTCTCCGGCCCTTTTCACAAACTGGCATTTCAGGTTTTTTACGCGGTTACTTTTGAGTCAAAAACTTAAAACATTTTCCAACGAAACGTTGGCGTCATTGTTTCACAAATCATTTTTATACCTCAGATGCCACATTTTTTTTTAACGTCATGTCGAGAAACAATTATGCAATGCCTTGTAAATCCAGAGCTTTTTCAAAATGTTCTGCATTTTCTTCATCACTTAAAGTTGCAATTAATTCAGAGAATAGCTGATAATGTTTGTTCAAGTCTCCACCATGTGTTCGAATACTAATTGGAGTATATTGGTTCCGCCAACAAGAGCCTGTGACTGAGACGTCATTTTGAATGTAGAGACGTAAATAATTTGATAAGATAATAACACTCTCTAACCGATACGTGAACTTTTTAGTGTTCATCAGCTGCCCAGGTAAGTAGTAATTAGAAGGATCTCGTATTGTGGTACTATAGTAGTCATGAAAGTGATTCCTTTGTTCACGATTAAAACAATACATGTCAATTTGCAATTCCTTGGGCGACTCAGGCTCATAGAGTTTGAGCTGTGATAGCCTCTGTGAAGACAAACATCTTTTGAAATGTTTCACAAATTAGTAAAGGACTCTGCGACAACGGAAAACACTGTGTAGAAGACCAATAATTTCCATTATTTTTCAAAATTCTCTAAGATGGGAGTATGACGTACCGTTTTGTAGATGTTGTATAACGCAGCATGTAATTGCGATTGCAATATAGACCGCACTTTAACCATTGTAAGAATTGAATATACACTTGAATAGCGACAAAACATTTAACGCTATAATTAAGTACAAATCAAGTATATTGCCCTTCTCGCCATAGTTTTCCTATGGTGATTTGATCTCGAATTCTCGTTACGAACTCTGGTATCTTTTCTTTTGTCCTGCGTTCGTGAAAAAGTAATCAAACTTGCTCTCAACATGTGTTAGTGTTACAGAGGCTGAAGGTATTAAAATTTTGTCCATGGCACAATGAAAATCTATGGCACAATGAAAATCTAATCACGTTACGTATTGTCCGTATATTGCTCAAACGATGGTACACGAAAACAATTGCCGGATCGAAATGCACCAATCGCAGCAGGTCATCACGATACATCAGGTAATGCTGTGTCGGAACCAGTCGACCCCATCGCCTAAAGAAGACTTGCAGTAAGCAGTCAAAACGTCGCGTTCTACAACTCGTGACTTTGTCTTTTCTCTGTATTTGTATTTACCGACCAAAATGAACAGTTTTAGGTGAATGCTCGAAGTACGCGCTATGTCGTCTTTGTGAATACCGGAGTCCTTACGTCATCATCCCTAACATAAAATGACAAATAAAGCTTCGCAAGCAAAGGGGTGTTTTTACGTAGATTTCTCTTCCTGCGAAGTTTGAAATAGTTTACTAAGGATAGTCAAATACATACCTGAATAACACAGTACCAAGGCTTGTTTGAGCTGTAGAAATAAAAGTCGTCATTTCATTTACCACATTTCGTTCTTCTATTATATTAACTCCAGAGTAATGCATTTGGAATAGCTTCATGTTTTAAAGAAATTTAAGGCTAGACATTTTTCCATATAGTTTTGTATTATTCAGATTTCAACTGAAAGCTGAGAAAAAGGTTAGACATTATTTTGTTAAAACTGAATTTTAACTCTCAAGATTCGTGTGTTGGGTGTCCTTAAAAGTAAAATTAGTGGCCCGCAATTTACGTACGGTCGATTGTCATGGAAAACCCTGGGGTAAAAACTGTTTTCGTGCCAAATTTTAGTGAGGTTTGTAGATATGAAGGAGTAATAATGACTTACCGTAATTATGAGTACTCCAAAAAAGTATAAAACCATGTTGGATGGTGGCATCATCGATGCTGTGAGAGTCTAAACTTTGGACGCCTTCGTGTTGTCAAATAGAGGCAGATTTTCAAGTTTTTTTTAAGCTTATTTGCTTTCAGTAAGGAACAAGTTCAACTTGACTCAGGGAAGAGTCATTGTAATAACATAGAGTTATGCAAATTTTCGAGGGAAAGCAATACAAGTTGGCAGGGTTTCTGGCGATGAAGACTATGTTTTAATTGAAGCAATCCGTTTTCTTTTGCCGACGCAACGGATATTTATCTTTAAGAAGGTATCCGTAGTGTGGGGTGTCCTCAAACGCTATTTGAATAATCAAGGCGTATCGCAATTAACATCATTTTAAAGTGTGATTTAATTTTCGTGGATGCGGAAATTTGTTTGTTTCTCTGACATTGAAAAGCAGGTTTTGTGAGTAAGGAGCTCCTCACTAGTCAGTCTTTAAGAAGGTACTCGTAATGTGGGGTGCCCTGAAACGCTATCTGAATGATCAAGGCGTATCACAATTGACATTTTAAACGTAAGATTTTCGTGGATGCGGAAATTGTTTTATTTCTTTGACATTGAAAAGCAAGTTTTGCGAGAAGGGAGCTCCTCAGTGGTTTAAACTTCCATCAAAAAACAAAAAACATGCAAGAGAAAAGTACTTCTAAGCGATTTCTTTCGTTCTAAATTTTAGCCACTTGTTTCTTTGACGAAAACTCCATATAAAACTTAACAAAGGGCGAGGAATCATAATTTTAGTGAAATTGTTACTTCGTTTTTTCTTATGAGTGCAGAAATGGAAATGGAAAGTGAGACATCTCTTTTTTTATGTGAATAGGCGATGTGGTCAAGACACTGCTCAGATGGAATCAATACTGCTATGGCGCGCATATGGCGTTAGATGAAAAGCTTTTAAACCAAGGGCCAATATTTTAATGGCGTTTCGTGTTTTGATATAAAAATTATCGACAACGATATTGTGATGGCATCTTTAATATTCAAATACACATCACAAATCGTTTCCAAAAGATTTGATTCATTACCTTACGGATACATGATACATGCTTCTCACGAAAATCAAACTTGAAAAACAAAACAAAACAAAACAAAGCAAAGTAAAAAAGGGTTCCTTTCAATCGACATTGTTCGTACCGTGAGATTAATCCATCTTAGTCTACGAATAATTTCAAATACTGAAGCGTCGAAAGTTCGCGCCATTTTATGTGAGTTTGCATCTGGATCTGGTTGAAACCCCATTGTGCAATAATTTAGAGAAAAGCCTTTGATCATTGTGTTTGTTTTCCTTTGGTCTGCAAAATGAGAAGAAGCTCTTCCTTCTTCACCTACTAAGTCTTTGATTCAATGGAAAAGGTGCTCTATACCTCGAAAAACTAAGATGATTCTATCTAATTGTACATACGGAAGTTTAGGTTCCAATATGGTAACTTCGAACGAAAATAAGTCTCCAACTCTACTTCTTAAACTTAAGAAATATGTCTGTGTTTTCTCAATGACAGGAAGTTTACTTCACACTTAAGTGCAGTACACTTAAAAGAACGGTTTGCAACTATAACCTGATGTTATTATATGGAGATATGCAAAGTAATGTTTCAACATCGAAGTGTAGGAAGCAAGTGAGACGGTATAATGCAAATTCGCGAAATTGGTTATTAAAAATAGAGATTATGATTTGTTTTCCAATCTAATGGAGAAAACAAAAGATTTTTTTTGCGCAATATGGTGTTTTTGGTGTAGAAATTCCGACGTAATAGAATAAGTTATATTGAAATGGCGGCAAACTCTCCATATAAGAAGGTCTGATACAATTTAAAGTGAGTTGGAGGCGTAATGAGGATATTGCAAACAATGGTGTAAGGCGCTCTAAATTGCTTTGATGTGACTTTCAAAATGTAAGTAAAACGAAGCATTTTTCGGGAACACTTTATTACAGAGATGGGAATTTCATATCTAACAGATAGTCTATAAGAACCTTTATCAAAAGTTGTCTATTTTTCCCATTTCAATGACACACACGCATCTGATAATTTTGACAGTAAACAAACGTTTTCCACCATCAAACAAGATCTATATTAACCTCATGATGTGTGGCAATGAGGACAAATATTACGTGGTTGCTGCATTCGAGTTTAGTCTATGAATTTCGTAAGTCATCTTTACAAGGGCCATTAATATACCTCACGTTTACACCTACCTTTAAGTCCAAAAAATATGGCATAATACAAGAGGTTTGAACGCTTACACGAGGCCAAAACAACTTGCGTGGAAAACAACTGCGGAGTTAAAAAATTTAAACAATTAAATTACCACTCTTGAAGCTGTGCAAAAATGACCAGTGCCTATTTCCTTGACTTTAAGGCGCTGATAACTCGATATTCTGAGTTGTCTGTTGCTACT